GAATATATGTGTTACATTGCACAAATTCACCCCTAGATGGCAGTAAAAAATCTACATATTGGTGCTTTAACTTTGGTTTATCAATAACCCAATGGCAATGAGAATTCTGTAGATGTGGTTCGAATTCACAAACCTTTTGCAAGAAGAAAATAAAACCCTGGAAGAAGAAGAAGAAGAAGAAGAAGAGGAAGAAGAAGAAAAGGAAGAAGAAGAAGAAGAAGAAAAAGAAGAAAAAAAAAGAAGAAGAAGAAGAAGAAGAAAAGAAGAAAAAAAGAAGAAGAAGAAGAAAAAAAGAAGAAGAAGAAGAAGAAAAGAAGAAGAAGAACAAGAAAAAAAGAAGAAGAAAAAAAAAGAAGAAGAAGGAGAAGGAGAAGATTTTTTTTTTTGGTTGGTTGTTTTCTCAAACACCAGGCAGAGATAAAGATTAACAGAAAAGGAGACAAAGAACACAGTTGTGATGGATGTGGTTGTGTTGTTGCGTGTGGTGATGAGGGGGTGGAGGGTGAGGGGATGAGGGGGAGTAAACATCTCTAAGTTTTAGATTAACGTCTGACATGGTAGATTTTAGAAGCCAACGTTCATCTGAAAATCCCAAGTAAAACAGAATCTAAGAAAGATATCAAAATAATCTAACGGCTGTAAAAAGACCAACATCTATTCACACTCACATTCACACTCACATTCACACTCACATTCACACTCACATTCACACCTTCGGTCAGTTTAGTGTGATCACGTGAATCTCATCCTGCGTCAGAGTTGGTGCCTAATTAGAGTCTAGCGCCCTCTATCACTATCTTTTTTTTAGGTAAATTAAGGTAGAGGTCGTGACCCCTATGGGGTTTGCAGAGGTACTGCAGGCTGGTTGATTTGATAAAATGTGATACGTGAAGTACAGGAGATACTTTGGCTCCTACTAGTGGTACGCAGAGGGAACAGCTTATCAAATGGATTAGGGTGAGTCAGAGACCACCCCCCCCACTCTCTCTCTCTCTCTATGTGTGTAGTTGCAGTACTACTTCATTGTGCACTCTGACAAAATACTCCAAATACTCCTAGCTGCACTTTGTACTTTAATGTTGTCGTACTGGTGGTACTGGAAGAGACAAATATTTTCAGAAGTTGATTACGCAACTATAATTTTTCACACAGAACACAGTCTCGGTCAGACTGGTGCAGCTGAAGATGTGGAGAGTTTGTTGTTTCTCTCTGTTACATCTGCAGCTTCACATGGTGTGACATCACGCTGACAATGATAAAAAAAAACAACCAAAAATACAAAATATAAAACACCGACACACATCAGGCTGTGACGGAGCTGAACTCCAGTCATCAAATCCAAACGCTCATTTCTGCACGTCATTCTTCTGAGTCTGTGCCTCTTCACCTACAAGTGTTATTGATTGTTACCACACGGTGACTTATTGACTTATTGAACATCATCCTTTAACACCAAGTTAAGAAAAGGAAGAAAGGTCACGGTCAAAGGTAAATAAATAAAAAATAAAAAAGTCACTGTCCAGTTAGGAGAAGGAACGGTTTGTTCTGGAGTAAATAAATAAATCTTATCGTTTACAGATGAACGTCAGGTTTATGTGGATAATGACTAGTTCTCAATGATTATAAACAAACACACACACACACACACGCGTCTGTCAAGTGCTGCTCCAGACTGAGTAACTCATAAAGGGAGGGAGTGCATCTTAAAGAAGATTAGAAGTGAGCACAGTTTCATGTCGGCCGTCGATGCTGAAACTCGCTTCGACCGCGGTCCGATCATAGGCAGCGAGGACTCGGCTCCCTCCGCTGGAGAGTGTGAGAGGCTTATTCCCGCAGAGGTTGCAATAATCCAAAGTTCAGGGAAAGCTGTTGGAATTCTACAGACGATTATACTCCACGCTGCATTCGCAGGATAACTTTTTTTTTTTCCCCTTTTGGTTTTTCTGAAAAGGAAACTTTCTTTGGATCGATTTGCAGGAACAAAACTGTGAGTATTTTAATGAGCATGTACATATACTGACAGTACTGTGTAGATACTTCCATCAAATCCAAGACTGAACTGGTACCAGAGTCGAGCCCAGGTTGATACTTCCATCAAATCCAAGACTGAACAGGTACCAGAGTCGAGCCCACTCACTTCTGTTCTTCAACATTTTCACAGGTTCTCAGACTCCTGGATCCTGAAGGAGATTTTTTTTTTTATTATTTTTTATTTTCACTGAGTGACCTCCTGTGAAAATGGCTTTCGGCGACCTTCTGGAGCAGGTCGGCAGCGTGGGTCGCTTCCAAGTCGTCCACGTGGTTCTCCTCGCCGTCCCAGTCATGATGATGGCCAGTCATAACCTGCTGCAGAACTTTGTGGCTGCAGTTCCATCTCACTACTGCAGGGGCCACACCAACGTGTCTCTGTCTCACATGAGTCCAGAAGAAGCTCTGTTGATCACGGTGCCACTGGACCGAGCGGGCCGGCCACAGAGGTGCCAGCGGTACGCTGCTCCACAGTGGCACCTCCTGGCCGACAACGGGAGCTCCAGTTCAGGAGATGGGTTCGATGCCGAGGATGGTGTGGAAGTGGATCTTCAGGGATGCCAGAACGGATGGTTCTACAACACGACTGAGAGGACGTCCACCATCATATCTGAGGTTTTCTACTCTCAGATCCCAAACGTTTTGTGGTCAAAGAATAAAATGTTTTTAACTTTTTTTTTTCCCCTTGTGTCAGTGGGATTTGGTCTGTGATCTGCGCTCTTTGAAACAAATGGCTCAGACCGTCTACATGGGAGGTGTTCTTGTGGGAGCTCTGGCCTTTGGAGCTCTGTCAGACAGGTACCGTTCACCTCACTCTCTGCCGTCTCTTAAAAACCTCACAGTTTTCTGACAAATGTCCGTGACTCTCAGGTACGGTCGTCGTATCCTCCTGCTGATCGCTCACCTCCTGATGGCGGTGTCAGGAACATGTGTTGCTTTCTCCAACTCCTTCACCCTCTACTGTCTGTTCCGCTTCGGCTGCGGCATGGCTCTGTCTGGACTGGGACTCAACACTTTCTCTCTCAGTACGTCATCATTCATTCCAAATAATCACAGTAATATCGGTGTGTACTGGTCAGAATATAATGCAATACTACAGGTACGACGGTATACTGTATATACAAGGTTTTTCTTGGTCCCAGTTTGATCCTAGTCTCAGGCTCTGTTCCATCTGAACATCAGGTTAGAGAAGATCTCTAGAGGAGAAAGTCCACAGACCTGTCAATCATTCTCATATATTTATAATGACAGAATTATTAGTTTCATTAAAATATATAAGTTTGTACAAATGTAGACGTCGACAGACTGACCAATCATCTTCACAGTATGTGCTGCTGTTTTTTAAAACATTTTATTCCAGTTGTGGAGTGGATCCCGACCCGTGTTCGGACAGTGATCGGAACCCTGACCGGCTACTGCTACACCATAGGTCAGCTGCTTCTCGTGATCATAGCCTACTTCATCCGTGACTGGAGGTGGCTAACGATGGCCGTTTCCTTTCCTTTCTACGTCTTCTTCCTCGTCGCCTGGTGAGCGGCCTGCTGCTGTTAAAGTGAAACTCTCGAGACTAAGTATTAGCACTGCAGTAACAAAGACCTGTCACTCAGGTGGTTTCCTGAATCCTCGAGATGGTTGGTGCTGAATAATAAATCAGAGCAGGCTCTGAAGAACCTGAAACGAGTGGCCAGGTTTAACGGACGCTCGGAGGAGGGCGAGAAAATTGATATGAACGTAAGGAAGGAAGCCCAAGGGTTTTTTTCACTTTTGCGTCAGCCGCCTGAGTTTTTTTTTTTTTCCCATTAAATTTTGAAATGATGGAAGTCTTTGACTCCTCTGTGAACAGGTTCTGCAGGAGTCCATGAAGAAGGAGATGGCCTCAGCCCAGGGCTCCTACACCTACCTGGATCTGTTCCAGACTCCGACAATGAGGACAATGACGATCTGCGTCAGTGCCGTCTGGTACGGTTCTCAGCTCAACGTGGTACAGAAACCTAGCTTCAGACGTACTGCGGTGATTCCATGACGGGTGTACGTTTCTCCAGGTTGTCGACCAGCTTTGCGTATTACGGCCTGGCCATGGACCTGCAGAAATTCGGGGTGGACATCTACTTGATCCAAGTGATCTTCGGCGCGGTGGACATCCCCGCTAAAGTTGTCATCACCGTGACCATGAGCATGATCGGACGTCGTCCGTCACAGAGCGGCGTCCTCATCCTGGCGGGGATCACGGTTCTACTGAACCTGGTGGTTCCTCACGGTACGTCTTCAGTTTGGTCCAGTGGCGTTGCTCAGGGTTATTTATTCAGTTCCTCGTGTCAAAGCCTGAAGTAACCACTTACTAACCTTGGCTAGCCCTGTGTCCTATGCGATCTTTAAGCCTCGCTGGCGACACGAGCCCATAAAGCCCGTAATGATTAACTTTTTTTATGGCTACGTTTAGATAAAACGAGGCTCCTTATCAAGAATATATGGATTCTCTGCGCTCAGGTTCAGTCTTCTCTGTTCTTATCCGTGCGGTATTTAACGTTGGCAACGGTCATGTGATGGGGGCACTTTAACGAGCATTCATTTAAAGGGAGTTACAACATAAACTGAGGGACTTTGTCTCTAAATCAATACTTTTTCGGAGAAGCTACAACACGTACTGTACATACGTTGTACATAAACAGGACACGCAATTAAACATGTGTTGCTGCTGCTTGGTTAACACGCCACAGCGGCTCTGAACGACAGGTCAAACCAACAACCCTGTAATGAGAAGTCCAACCCCGTACAACCACTGACATGTATGTCATACATGTACATAAATAATAATAATATATATATTTTTTTTAAGCATTTCCTCTCTTATGTCCGAGCAGATAAACAGCTGATTCGAACCTCTCTGGCTGTCGTGGGTAAAGGTTGTCTGGCTGCGTCGTTCAACTGCTGCTACCTCTACGCTGGAGAACTGTACCCCACCATCATCAGGTGAGTCCTACTTCAACAGACGTAAAGTTAGTTTTCTACACACTGGACCTCAGAGTTTAACGATGAAAACAAATGTTCACGTTTAAAGACGGTGCGGCTGGTGATCAGAACATGTGAGGGTTTTTTTTTTTACGAGGTGAAGATTAACGATTTCAAACCAACATCAACCATCAACCTCAACAGGATGAATCATTAAGCGCGCATTGATTTGAAGGTTTAATAATAAATCTGACTTTATTTTTCCTCGTCCTCTTTTCTTTCACATCTTTTTATTTTTGTCAGCTTTTTTTGGCCTTTCTTTTTATCTCTTCCTGTTTTTACTATTTTGTTAATTTTTTTTGTCTTCTGACATTTTTGCCGTTTTAGTTTTTTCTCTCTCTATTTTTCTGCCTTTGCGATATAATACAATATATTGCGATAATATAGGCGCAACAACGTATTGATAAAAAAATAACGTAATTGTAGGACGCCATGAATATTTGACTGTTAATTGGTAATAAAATAACTTTTACACTGCATCAAAGTATTGAGTATTGTGAAATGACATATCGCCATATTTCAGTGGTATATTTTCTCACAACCCTACATTACTTTTTTAATAAATGTGTTTGTTGTTTTCATTTGATGCACTGACTACTGCTCTCCAGCAGGTGGTGTTGACGAAGGTTTTCCCACATGAAGTTGATTTAGTATGAAATCTGAAAGTTTGACAAGTGACCAACAGGTGGCCAGTGAGCAAATGCTTGTCCACATTCCCCCTCAGACAGACTGGCATGGGCTGGGCTTCCATGATGGCCCGTGTAGGAGCCATGGTGGCTCCCATGGTGCTCCTGGCCGGCGACTACATTCCGTGGCTCCCTGGCGTGATCTACGGCGGAGCCCCCATTCTGAGCGGCGTGGCGGCAATTTTCCTCCCAGAAACACTGGGCTCACCACTGCCTGACACCATCCAGGACGTGGAGGACAGGTAGGACTGGAGCTGCAGGAGTGGTGACGAGTTCATCTCTCCTTCTATTTTCTGCGTCTTCCACAGTCAGCAGAGAGCAGAGAACTCTCTGGAACATCTCTGACAGCTTTATTTTTATTTGCATTTTCTATTTTCTGCGCAGGGGATCCGGGAGACCTTCCAAAAAGTCCACAAAGGAAACGATAATATTGCAAAAGACGGAGATGAACCTGCTGAAGCTGGCTGCCTGAGGGCGTCCGCCTGTCTCTGAGGCCCCGTCCGTCTGTGATTCCACCACAGGGACCGCTATTGTGTCATGTGGCAGTTTTACAAATGGAGCAACAATGTGATTTTTTTTTTTTTTTTTTCATAGGTCATACACTGTAACGAGTCGCTACAAACTCACAGGAAAAGTTTTTTTCTTTTAAATAAAAGTTTTTGTTTATCGTTTAATAAATTAAACCAAATATATTTTTCACGGTATGTTTTTAAAATTATCACATTATCCTTTATGATGTCAGAAACGCAGTTAATGTCTGTAAATACTGATTTGATGAAAAGCGTGAGAATCAAATCAACCTCTAGGATAAATAAAATAGTAAAAATAAAGTCTTTACGTCAGATTTATCTGATGGAAACAGAAACTGAAGAAGAAAGAGTGGAACACGGAGGAGATGGAGAGACAGAGAATTGATTTTTAGACTTTTTAAAAAGTTTTTCTTAGCATTTTTTAACTCAGCCCTGCATCATAGAGATGTTTAAAACATAACAAAGATAAAGTTTTTTTTAAAAAGCCTGCTGCATCATAGAGATGTTTAAAACATAATAAAGATAAGAAAGTTAAACAAGAAACAACATCATAAGATGTGACGCTGGAGAACAGGAGAAACAGCACCATCTAACGGTGGACTGGAGATGAACCAACAGTTACTGTCTCGGTCTTCAGGCACTGATTAAATCCAGTCTATAAATGGTGACAGAATAAAGGCACATTTTAACATCTCACCTACAGCCTCAGCTTCAACCTGACCTTTGACCCTGGACTGTCATCACAGACACACTGGTCTCCACGGTCAAACTTTAAACGGACAAACTATTCCGCGGTCGTCCAAGCATGATAAAAAAATAATAATAAAAGGCTTAAAATGCACCACTTTAATGTTTAATTCTTTACTTCTCAAACGTCAATCATCTATTTAGTGATGGTCACATGTTCAGACCATCGGTGGTTGGACGCATCCTGCTGCTGAGCCACAGCTTAAGTTAAATATTAGTTATGTTTGTTTTTGTTTAATCTACCAATGACTGACTGGATTAAAAAATTAAAAACGTACCATGTGACACGTGTCTGTGGATCACTGTAAACCAGTGTGACCTCCTGCTGTGACTGTTATTGATCGCTTTAAGATGTGTGACTTACAACAGAGTGAGATGATCCAAACTTCTCCTTCTCCTTCTCCACTCTTCTTCTTCAACGTCAGCACCTGGCATCCATGGAGCTGCGGGTCCCGCCCCCTGCTGGATAGTTATAGTTTGGTTTAATGTTTGAGATTTAGAAAACCAAGAATCATGCAGGTTAGATATAAAAGGACAAAAGGGCAGTTACCCTGCACACACACACACACACACACACACACACACACACACACACACCACGTGAACCTAGTAAATATATATTTTAAAATATAATGCTGTCTGTTAATATTGGTGTGGCAGTTCTTGAATTAAGGTCAAGATTTTATTTTATATTGTACATTGTTGGAATGTGTAAAATAAATATTTTTTCAATTTATTTCAATTTTGTAATTGAGTTATTCTTCAAAATAATTGATTTAAGCGAGGTTAGTAAAAAGTCATCGCCATAAATGCAACAGTACTAATAATTGACATTTCCAGTTTTCATTTCTGTGGATCCAAAATTATAACGTTTTATTTTTTAGTACTTTGACAATATCACAGAAACCCTGATTACTTTCAGATAAAGTACTTTTAAAGTAAAATCTTCATTGATTCATTTTGTAAAAAGAAAAAAATGTCAAAAAAAATGAGTGAATCTCGCTTCTGTCGCCATCTTGTGGTGAATTAATGCAAATGCTTTGCTGAATTTAACCCTGATTACTTTCAGATAAAGTACTTGTAAAGTAAAATCTTCATTGATTCATTTTGTAAAAAGAAAAAAATGTCAAAAAAAATGAGTGAATCTCGCTTCTGTCGCCATCTTGTGGTGAATTAATGCAAATGCTTTGCTAAATTTCTATTCCAAAAACTATACGGTTTAGAATGATCTCCAGCCTGAAACCTCTGTAAAAAAAAAGAGTTTGTTGTATTTAAGAAATTCCAGCGCAGCTCCCAGCAGTTTTGGAAATCTTTACCAAAGCTGCAGTGATTTTTAATGGGATGTTGCTCATAAAATCCCTGTCCATTATGTGTTGTTATATAATTTAACAGCCTTCAGCTATCACGCAGGCTGTGTGTTTTTATGTGCATCTGGCAACTACTGTAGGAGCTGTCACTTCTAAGAGTCCAAACGTCTTTTTTTTTTTAAAAAAAAAAACAGAAAAAGCTCTGTGGTAATTTATAGATCCAGATTAAACAGATCATATTTCTGCACGCCGTTCTAATGTGCGTGCTCCTCAAACATGCCGTTCACGAGGAGTCACTCAGAGCACAGATAAAAGAAAGAAAAGGGAGAAGAAGGGGGGGAAATCAGAGCAAAGCGTTTCTACAGAAATAACTGCATCGTGAAAAATGATATGAATAAAGATTTATTTTCTCATATGAACAGGTGGATTCATTTTTCATTTTATTTTACAATCTATGACAATCTCGCAGTTGTTTTCTCTTTTTTCTAGCATATTTCAGGAATGACATGGGTGGGGGGGAAGGTTCTTTTTTATTGCTGAATGTTAAATGAAATACACTTTCACCTTTGAAAGACTTTGGGGGAAAAACAAAGGATTTGTCTGCTGCATTTATTTATTTTTAATTTTTTTTTAAAACCATGCACCCATCTAACCTTGACCACAAGGACATGCAGAGGGAGAGGTGTTCGAACATTTCAAGCCAGGGTTTGGGTTGGAGAAGGGTGGATGTGTGTGTGTTTTGGGCGGAGGTCGGGGGTGGGGGTTGTTAAATTAACAGGAGAGGGTGGTGGGATGAGCCTGGAGTCATGTGAGTTTGGGTGGACGTGGGGCCTCACATGGAAACTAGAGGAGCTCTGACTTTTCTTCATTTTGTTTTCTTCTCCCAAACGTACAAAATTAGAGCAGGAAGTGAGGATGTGCAGATCTCTGCAGGTGGGTTTTGACCCTATGACCCTTCAGCTGTCACCACAACACTGTGCATGGACTGTGTACCAGATAAAAATCAAAGATCAATATTTCACTGATTGTTTTAACCAATAATCACATTGACAAGTCGGGCGTTCAGCCGAGTGTGTTTTTAATCTAAACATCGACGCTCCTCTCTCTCAGATCCACTCAGTTTAAATTTTTCATCTCTTCAACTCTTCATCTCTCCTCCACTAGGTGGACACAGGGATTCATTTACTCATCGTTAATTTCCTCTCACTTGTGTGTACAACTGGAGTTTTACTCTCAAAAACAAGACACAGCAGTAAAGAGTTACAATCAGAGGAGACACTATTCAGACGCTATCGGACATAAACTGGAAGTGTGCATGTACAGTGGAGTGAACCTAAAACTAGTGATAACATAATTCATGAACACATAACACATTCAATGTACATGAGCCTCTGAACGCAGGAGAAAAAGGCTGACGACGCGGACAGACGGCTGCATAATGGTGGCCTCTTACAAAAATAACTCATGTAAAATATGCATTTTTACACCGTGTGGCCTCACCCTGCACTACAGGCGTGGATCAACGCAGCACAGCTACAGTCGCCTCTCAGAGAATGACGTAGAATCAAACAGCAAAATAGAAAGTTTGCATAATTGTTTTTGCATCGTATGATCCTCCAAAAAAAAAAAAAAAGTTTCACAGCTATTTCATGTGACGTCGTCTGGGTTTGTGTGTTCGTCCTGATCTTATACACTTGGCTTTTCCGTCTGGGCCTCTCCCAGTGGGAGTGGGTGGGGGTGGTGGTGGGTGGGTGGAGGTGAACCTTCAGGTGTGAGGACCTTAGTTTTAGGTAGACCTTAAGTAAAGGACGAGGGAGT